AACCCGTGCTGACAAAAGGTGGTGAATCAACTATACAGACACATCCTTGACTGATTCAGAAATTTCTGATAATCGCTCATTAATAAATCTAGTATCGCCACAACACAATGATCTGAAATATTATAATTTTCTTGCGAGAAGTCTCACGAGTTAGTTCCTTGATTTTAAGAGCTAAACCGTGATTGGCTAAAAAGGTTTTACGTCACGGAAATCGTTTTGCCGCTCGGGTTAGCAGACACTGCTGTTTGCAGGCTAGACTCCACTCAGTCCTATTACCATTATTAAGCGGAGGTATTTAAAGGATAAATTAGATGCTGTCCCTTACAGCTGATCACTGTTAGGGGATAAATGGACAATGACTGTGTATCACACTTACCTTTGTAAGAACAACTACCATAGGAAGACCAAGATTATCTGAAAGAACATTTTCATCAAGTGGTAAAAGAACTTTGTCTTCATCTTTTATCCCAGATCGTCTTCTGTCTTCTACTGTTTCATCTGGTTCAACATACTCCTGAAAGTGCCGCACAACTGTGGTAGAAAAGGAGAAAAATAATTAAGATCACTGAACCAGAAAAAAGACTAAAAAATCTTTAGGGGTTTAGTTTCCCACTGTGGCTCACAGTTAACAGAAACAAACTTTACAAATTAAGCATAACAAGTAACAACCCCCAAAGGCTCGACTCACACCAGCTGACTATTTACAAGCAAAACCAGAGGCCTTAATGTATTCTGTATTTTGTCATTATTCACAGAGTGTTTTGGAGAGGATCAGTCAGGAAGGTCAGCGCTTTGTTGAAGCCTATAATTTTGTGTTCAAAAACACTATATATTTACAAAGAGCCATTATTTGATAAACATGATGATTCATTAGTTGTCTGTTAGCGAACCAATAAATTAACGAACTGTCACACAACGGAACAGAGTTGTCTGTCTTCCTTAAAACACTGCCATCATTAAATTCATTCAAACCTTTTACTTCACCAAAATGGCATTTGTTATCTTTTTCATTTCAAAATAGCTGGAAGCAAAAGAGCTGTCCATATACTTTGGCTCAACATCTCTTTGCAGCCAGGAAACACAATGCTCCCCAAAACATTTGCTAATTACATGTACAATTAAAAATCTATAATAATATTTTTATGCATGGTTAAGCCAAAGATGCTGAGAGCTGCCCTTCTAGGAAATTACAGACAATAAAAAAATGCACTTTAAGTATATGCAGGTTAGAATTAGTAATTCTGAAACTAGCTAAAGCAATATAATGCACTTTGCTGAAGGGCAGTATCTCAACACCTATATCAATTAAACATGAGATTCGTCATCCCCAACTGTTAAACTCAATTTAAACTCACACATTAACAATGAAAATCGAGGCCACTTTTTTCGAAAAATCGTTACAGATCATATTTTAACCACTTTCGAACGAAAGTAAACATATTATTAGCGACGATAATATTTTCACACATTCTTTTCTAACTAAAATATTATCACTCTGCAATCGCATGAGCGTTCTTATTACAATTGAATATTAGGGACCAAAACTACCCTAAATCAAGCTTTGTTGGGAACGATTATGTTTTCATCTGAAGGAAAACTAATGTTTTCTATTCGAAAAGCTTTTACTTGTCCAAACAAGTATCGAAGGTAAACTCTCTAACACTATAACATCGATCTCGCCACTGAAATTCACTGTCTAAAATAAAACTTGGGACGAATAAACATCGCATGAACTGCGATTTTATATGAGTTTTTAACAAACTGACAACTCCATATATCTGTCAAACAGCTATATAAATAGCAATTTTTAAGAAATCCGACACGCACGCTTGACAATGAAAATATTCTTAACAATGTCTATCACAATAACAAAGTACATGACTTGTACACTGTAATTTTTACAAGCATGAAATTAATCCATTAGACTCACTTCGTTCCTCCATTTCATTCAGTTCTTTCGGCGGTAACTTGAGCGAGTGAATATGCTCTCGAAGAACCTCCGTCCATGAATGAAGAGATTCCATAATTGTCCATGGTCTAGACATATCAACAACTTGTACAACCAAAGTGTTGTTAATGCATTTAGGTGTAAGTGCATATTGCAGAAGATTTTTATGAAGTGGATCACCGTCCAGTATCCAAACACCTAACCGGGTGCTGTCTGAAAAAATAAGGGAAAAAAAGTTTAAAACTCCTTGTAAATAATAAAATTAGTTGCCAATTTAAAGCCTCGACGACCGGTTTATTACTTTAAGTTAACGGTTTCATACCATCTCGCTCTTCATCGTGAACGTCAAGATATGTGTATTCAAGTCCATGACCCTTGCTGATTTCGTCTTCTTTTCCTCTAAGCTTTGATATTAGCGTCGTTTTTCCTGATCCATCGTACCCTAGAAAATTTGCAGATGGTCGTTTTCAAAAACAAAAATTAAAAATAAACGAAGGCAAAAAGCTAACTGAAAACGAACCTAGTAGAACAATCGACTTGTTGGAGGGAAGTTTTCTGCTTGCAGAACTCGAAACATCACTTAAGATGGACGACCTGCCAAAGAGAAATACCGGTAGAAGATCGTTATTACAGAGGAATAACGCTTAATGTCCATGCACGATCACTTTTAATCTCAGTACCAGAGATCTTTGCCTCCTTCTTCGTCACCGGCCGAACCTCTATCATCTACGTCCGCCATTTTGGTGTTGCTCTGTAAAGTTCCCGTATACTGGGCCGGACTCAAGCCCAAGGCCCTCGCAATCAGTTAAGAAAATTCTCGAGTCCCGTGGTAAAAACGAAAGTTCTTCTTTAATTATTAATATACTACGCGTGTTTTCTGTGACCATTTTCTTCAGAAAACACAAAGACGATACATGAAATTTCTTTGGAACACACGATCACACGAGAGCCGAACTACTGCATAGTGCCATTCGCCCTTACTTTTAGTATGCCCTTAGAAGTTTAATGGGCCCGTTCGCGAAGACCATCGAAGACGTCTCGTCACGTAAATCAAATATTAGAAACTGAAAAAAAGTTGTACATGAGAACCTCGAAATAAAGATAGGGAAAGAGACCAGAAAAACCGTTCATTATAACGAATGTTTAGGCACAAATTTAATTTTTTTTAATTTTTGGGGTTCTCTCAGTCATAAAGGGGTTTGTTAGCCTGCGTAGCATGGCGGTTTTGATTGGGCGCGCTAAATTGCGGCTTCGCCGCTCGGTCTTGCTCCCGACAAAACCGCCATGCTACGCAGGCTAGGGGTACGTCGGAGGTTTCACCGTTTTCCATAATAAATCTGACGTCAGAATTATGGGTGTTTCTTTTCCTTTTTTTAATGTTTTTTTTTTTTCTTCTTGCCATCTGAACGACCCAATTTTACAAAGAGAGGACAATGGGAGATCGAACAGGCACTCGATGGGCGCTCAATGGGCCATTCGATGTCTCAACGCTAATCACCCTATGTTAAAGCGAAACTTCTAGAACTTAGGGTTTTCTTTGTTTTTTTTTTGTTCGCGTCTACTTGCAATTAGTTGTAATTGTTTATAGTTTTCTTTTGTTATATTGTTTACTTTCTTTTTGCTGTCACCACCGTTGCGTAATGTTACGTAATCTGTCAAGTTTTTTGGTATGAACTTAGTCTTGTCGGTCAGTGTTTTTTACAGTTTTTATCGGTCAAGAACAGCTCATTCCTTTTAACGTTAAGTCAAGAAACCGTTAAGGTAAATTTTAGTCATACACCATTTGTACGCTTTTCCGTTTTCTTTGATGTATTTGTTATTTTGTACTGATTTCTACATTTTTCGTAATTTCGTATTCTTTGTATTTTTGGTTGTACAGTACCGTAGGAGTGTGATTTATAAAATAAAGCGGTTGGACACTAATACGCGTGACTTCGGTTACATAGTACTTAATTCTCGACTTTGGTAAAAGTTGGCCGCTCTGGTTGGCGACAGATCAAAGGAGTTCCAAGTTGAAATTACCATTAACGATGTCTTCGGTTGGTGACAGAGACAGCTTGGGACGGACGATTATAGCCTACCGTGGACACATTACGCGGATTATAAATGAATTAGATCCGCTACTCTTGGAGCAAATTGCTTCTGAAGAAGTTGTTGAAAAGCACAGTTCGCTGGTGAGCATATTCGAGAAGCTTAAACGGGTTTGTGCGCAGTGGTATCATTTGTCTGGGGAGCAAGAGGATAGAGAGCGTATTACTCATGACTACGCCAAGGATGTTTATCGAATGCAGATGTTTGAAAACAAATACAAGGAATGGTTAAACGATGTTTACACCCCAATAAGTCGAGGAGTTTACGGTGAAGGAATTGCGAATATTTCTGGGTTTGATTTGAGCTCCAAAACGCCTGTTGTACGATTAGAGGGTGCCTTTCAAGGAACTCAGAATACAAATCCTTCAGTTTCCCGTGCGGGCGCGCGTAGTGATTTGTTGGAAACGAAAACACCTAATGCGACTCAAGATCATGCAAGTGGCGGCGATAAGACGCCAAGTCAATTACACCCAAGGGAAAAGAGTTCTAAAAGAGGAAGTCAGTTATCGGCACGGAATGTCAAGTGTACAATGGCTCAGCTTAAAGTGAAAAGGCTTCTGGCTGAACAAGAGATAAAGGAAAGTGAAATTGCGTTACGACTACAAGAAGAAAACACACGTTTGTCAGCCGAGAAGGAACGTTTGAACATTCGAAGCGAATTAATGTTAGCCAGGATTGACGCAGAACAGGCTGAGATTGAAGCCAAACTGGGGGAGCAGGTTGATTTTGACTCTGTTTTTTCTTCCGAAGGATCAGTTAGAGGTCACGAGAACGTGAGGAAATATTTGGAAGGATTGTCACTTTCCGCCGTTCCTGGTCAACCGGATGTTGAGAAATGCGTTTTACCGGAAACCAAACCGCACGCTTTACCGGAAGTGAAAGCTGACATACCGGAAGCGAAGAATGTTACTGGAAATAGCACTGACGAAACAACGGTTAAATTTCAAAGGATTATGGAGCAACAGCAGATGTCTATCGATAAAGTTGTTCTTGGACTTGAGAAGTTGGACATGCCAAAGCGGGAATTCTTGTACTTTGATGGCGATCCTTCAAGGTACCCCAGATTTATTAAGAATTTTGAGCTAAACGTGGAATCTTCGATTACAGATGACAATGTAAGGCTATCTTATCTGATCCAGTATTGCACTGGCAAAGCTAAGGAGGCAATTGAAAACTGTGTAATTCTGCCAGGGCCTGAAGGATACAAAGCTGCTCGTGAAATTCTTAGAAAGAATTTTGGACAACGTCATGTCATCATCCGATCGTTCATCGATAAAGTTGTCAAAGGACCACAGCTAAAATCTTCTGATGGAGAGAAACTCTTACAGCTCGCAAGGGACATGCGAATCTGTTTGTTGAATTCTGCGGAATTAAGCTATCAAGCCGATATAAACTCTTTGGACACTCTGAAGAAGATCGTTATGCGTCTTCCTGTGCACATGCAGGCAAAATGGGCGGATGAGTCGGGGAAGATTTTGGAAATGGGTTCTGAGCCAACCTTCTCTCATTTGGCAGACTTTCTCGAAAAAAGGGCTCTGATAGCAAACACTGAGTTCGGGAAGTTAGTTGGATTCAAGCTTGGAGAGTCAAGAGTCACAAAACAACCAAGAAAAGCAGCTGATGGTGATGGTACTGTGCTTGCTTTGACTCAAGTTGAGAAGGATGTTAGTAATCAAGCCAATACAGCCAACAGCAAACGCTCAAATCAGAGGTCAGCAACGGATGGTCAAGTCAAATGCAAGTTTTGCGATGGAAGACATGAATTGGAGAAGTGTTTTAAGTTCCGGGACAAACGATATATTCAAAGGAAGGACTTTGTTAGGAAACAAAATCTGTGTGAAAATTGTTTGAAGCCTAATCACATCGCTAGACGATGCAGGAGTCTTGATGCTTGCTTGCTGAGTGGCTGTAGAGAAAGGCACCATTCCTTGCTGCACCCACCTAATTCATTGAGCGCTCCCATAGCTTCAAATGAGACTTCAAGAACGCGAGGTGATTCTGAAGATCCTGTTACCGGGCCAACAGCGACTCGTGAAGATCTGGCTGAAGCAAGTCCACACCACATCGAGGCCGGGGCGGATTATGCGACAAATGCCGGAAAAAACAGAATTAGTTTGAGGATTGTGCCCGTCCGAGTCTCTGCTAAAGGTGGACGAGAAGTGGAGACATATGCTTTCATTGATGATGGTTCTGACACCACCTTGTGTCTACGACGCCTTCTGGATGAGTTAGGAGTAAGAGGTTCTCCAACGTCATTTTCTTTAACTACCATTAATGCCGAGAGAACCAAACGGTCTGGAGAAGAAGTTAGTCTTACTGTGAGAGCATTGTCGTCAGATGAATGCATACAACTAGATCGTGTGTGGACTGTTGACAAGTTACCTGTCTCAAAGAAAAGCATACCCAGCACCGAAGATATCCGCGATTGGCCGCATCTGCAGGGTATAAGTATACCTAAGCTCGATAAAGAGGTATCCATCTTAATCGGCAATGATGTTCCCGAGGCGCACTGGGTCTTTGAAGAGCGCCGTGGTCGCCGTAAACAGCCTTGCGCTGCACGGACATTACTTGGTTGGACACTTATCGGACCAGTTGGCGGTTCAAGCAACCCTGAAGCGACCGTCAGTTTCTTAAGTGGAGGTCAAGAAACGCTGTCAGCACAAATTGAGCGAATGTACAACGCGGAGTTCGGCGAATCGTCTGCGTCATCTAAAGAAATGATGTCGATTGAAGATAGAAGAGCCCTGGCAATAATGGAACGAACCGTTCAGATGGTCGATGGCCATTATCAGCTCTCCCTTCCTTGGAAGTATGATAATCCGTGCCTACCGAATAACAGACCTATGGCCGAAAAAAGACTAAATCTTCTGAAAAGACGTTTGGAAAAGAACAAAGTTCTCCAAGAGAAGTACAAGGATGCTGTTGAAGATTACATTGCACAAGGTCACGCGAGGAAAGTATCTCTACATCAAGTGCCACGTTCTGTCTGGTATCTTCCCCACCATCCTGTGATACACCCGCAGAAACCTGAGAAGACCAGAGTTGTGTTCGATTGCGCCGCTAAATTTCGCAATACGTCACTCAACGAACAGCTGCTTCAAGGGCCAGATTTAACCAATAATCTCGTCGGAGTACTACTTCGTTTTCGTCAAGAGCAAATAGGTCTTACGGCCGACATAGAGAAGATGTTCCATCAAGTGAGAGTGTCTCCTCAAGACACTTGCGCTCTGTCATTTTTGTGGTGGCCTGGTGGCGATCTTTCTAAAGAAGCAGAAGACCATGAGATGCTTGTTCACCTCTTTGGAGCTAAATCATCTCCTAGCTGTGCAAGTTTTGCATTAAAGAAAACCGCAGAAGACAACAAGACGGACTTCGATGTGGAAACCATCGATACGGTTAATAGGAACTTCTACGTTGATGACTGTGTTAAATCGGTCGCAACAACTGAAGAGGCGGTACGATTAGTTGAGCAGCTGCCAGAATTGTTGAGTAGGGGAGGCTTCCGCTTAACAAAGTGGATCAGTAATCGTCGAGAAATCTTGTCCTCAGTCGCTAAGGAAGACCTAGCACCGTCAGTGAAGAACCTTAACCTAGACTTAGAAGATTTACCGTTAGATCGCGCCCTTGGCATGCAGTGGGACACGGAAG